ACATCAAAACAAATTCTTCAGTAACAATAATAATTTCATTCACAAATCAACAAAACATTTCAAGTAAAATAATGTATTGATTATTTTTAAGATTGTTACTTATAAAAAAAAATTCTTATAGAAAAAGATATTATTTATATAATAGTGTATTGATTATTTTGGGGATTGTCATTTATAAGAAAATTCTTTTACTAATTAACAATACCAATCTTTCCTTCGTTCCAATTGTCACGAAATGAATTACAAAAATTGTAATTTGCAAAAAAATTTATAAAACAATATACCGAGGGTGGATGAGATAATTTGAAACTTGCCTGAGTATTTTCTCGAATAGTAACAGTGCCGGGATCTACGAAGACCGGTGGCTTATTATTAACGTCCACGATTGTGATATTAACGAGCACCTCGGCTGTCCTCTGGATCTCCGTGCCGCTGTCAATCGCAAGCACGTTTAAGCTGTATCTCGTTGTTTTCGGGGACGTCAGATCAGGATCCAAATTCGAACCGGGCGCGACCCTAATCACGCCTGTCTCGGGACTAATTACGAATTTATCACCCGCACCGTTTTGGATTCTATAAACCAATTTATTGTTCGGCGACGATAGGTCCTTGTCCCATGCTTTGACCTGTAACAGATATTTTTATTCGTACATAAATTGAAAATTGCATACTTAATATTTCGATTTAAACTTTCATGCAAATATTGCATACTTCTTTGAATCAAAACTCTATAATTCAATTTAAAGCTGAATTTTTCAACTTTGAGTTAAGATTAAATGATTCATATTTAATTAAAATACTTTTATGCTTGCAAATTTAAATAAAAATTACATGCGTGAAATTTAAATAAAAATTACATGCGTGAAATTTAAATAAAAATTACATGAAAAATTTTTTAATTAAATTTAAAATTTAAGAGTTGTACAGATTTTACAAAAACCTATTAACAGGTATCAGTATATTCTGACCACTACTATTAATAATATTATTAAATGACTATGATTTCAATTTTATTCATTTTTCATTTAATCCTTTCCACTACCACAGATGTAAATAATGTATCGTATCGACATTATGAACATTTTTTAGCAATTTTAAAGATAATAGTAACTACAAAAGGAATTGGCAGGCACATTTGATGTAAATTCTTAAACTAAGCTTTGTTAAGATGTTATAATAATTATATTATAATATATTATACTCACATATACTTATTACACTCACACATGTGTTTTTCGTTATATTAAGGGGCTCTTCGACCCGTTCATAAATAAATAAATAAATAAAATACATAAATATACACACCTGAACCACGCTCGTGCCTCCGCCCAAATCCTCAGGTATGCTTCTCTTGTACATCGTCCTCTCAAAAGCAGGCGCGTTGTCATTAATATCCTTCAAATAAATAATTAACGGCGCATCCGAAGTCAAGCTCGGCGTGCCAGCATCCCTCGCCCTCACTGTCAATCTCAATGGCCGCACCGATGACGCTTTGTGTCCTTGATTGACTGGTAATTCCTCATAATCTAGCGGCGATGTTGGGACGATGATGCCACGTTTTGGATCGATCGTAAAATTCCGTGAAAATTCTCCCGATACAAGGGCATAAATCACTTCGCTGTTCTTGGTACCTTCAAAGTGTTGAAACAAAATTATGCAGAGTTAGCATGCTGGAAGCGACCATCCTATTTCACTTGATAAAAATAACAAAAATATATTTATGCAGATTTTTAGCAATTTTTATCAGTCGAAGACAAAATTTATTGAATCAATTCTGTACAAACGTATATTCATAACCCTAATTTTGTAAATTAAAAATTTTGGAACCCATCATTTTGACGAATCCCGTAAACCTAATTGTCCACATGCAGTGGCGACCATATCTTACTTAAGGATACTTGAAAAATAGTATAATGTTTTTAAAACTGGACTAATTTGTACTTTTTGTCGATCACTATAATACTTTTTTTTTAGTTTTGCTATTACGCAGATAAATAAGTTGAAAAACACGAGTTTCTAATTTTGTTCGTCATTCTAAGTAATAACAAAATTAAAAAGAATTATTATAGTCATTGTGTAACGTCTACAAAAAATTCAAGTCGTTTAGTCAAGTTTGAAAAAAGTTTAACAATTTTCCAGGTGCCTTCAAGTATATGGTCGCCACTGTAGATCGAAACCTCTATTGGTAACAAATACTTTAATGAACATATCCTTATTGTTTTAAAATAGTTACGAGTAGTATAGTAATTAATAAATGAAATCGAACCATTCAAATCGATGTCGAAAGCTTCGACGACCAACGGTGACTCAAAGTTGCCTTCGTTTTCCAAAAGCACCGCCTCGTATTTATTTTGCAAAAATACAGGTGCATTATCGTTCACGTCGTTGATATTGACAATTAACTGCGCTGTGTTGCGATTTCCCTTTCCAAGATCGTCCCTTGCTTCGATGGTCAAATAGTGTCGAGCCATTAACTCTCGATCGAAACTCGGACCTGGTTCCGTCACCGTGATCACACCTGTCTGACGATCCATTGACAGTCTACCGATAATAGAAAGAAATTAATTAAAACTATGTTCCACTTGAAATTACGGTCGAACTCCATTTCTATGAACCAGTTGGGAGCTAGACCGTGGCAAATTTTATTTGAAATGAAAATAAAAGATAACTATTTGACATAATTGATTTCAGACCCCGTTATTTTCAATACCGTTATTTGAGAATAAAAATAATATCAATTCATTCGAGATACAGCGATATGAAATAATAAATTATTTCGTTATTTCTTTCTGTCAAATTGGCTATAAGAAATAGTACTGACAATAATAATGAACAGAAAGATTTTATTTTATGTGAAATTTTTGTAAGAACTTGTTTAAAGCAACGCTCTCTTCATAGATAAATTATCCACAAAAATAGTAATCGACGAAAAAATTTGATTTTATGGAATCGTCATAACAATTTGTTTAAAGCAAAAAGGTGATAATTGTTTGAAATAATTGTAAAATAAAATAACATGTTATTTGAAATAATATTCCAAATAATGTTATTTCAGAAGGGAGCACAGACATGAAAAGAACTATGAAATAAAATAACATTGTTAATCAAATTTAATTTGGAATTATTATTTGAAAGCAGTTTTGTAATCTCGCAATATTTATATTGTAAGTTACTGAATAAATATTAGGATTTAGCCTCGAGTCTTAGCGAAATTACTTTTTCCTTCTAAATAATTCCAGTTCTATAATATTTAATATGTTTTATCTTACGCGTGTGCAATACTGCCACCCAAATGCGTGTATCGAATTCCTCGAGTGCCAAAATTGCCGCTGTCATCGTCCAATGCCTGAACCCATGCCACTGTAGTACCCACAGCACAATTCTCTGGAATCGACACTTCGTAGATGTTCTCAGTGAACTCTGGATAATTATCATTCTGGTCTTTTATGAACACAGTCACTGGCGCTATACTGTATTTCGGTTTCACCGGTACCACTTCTTTAGCGATTAATGTAAAATTCACCTCTGAAATGTGAAAAAAAAGATGAGATCAAAAATTACATGACATTTGCATATATCACGAACAAATTTCTTTCTCCGGGAAATGTAATATTTTTAACCATTTCTATGAACCATTTATAAATCAGTTTAACACATTGATTATTGTATCGCCCATATTTGGATAATAGAATTATTTAACAGAAAAAAGCATTCATTCTCAAGATTGATCGTTATGTTAACAACAAATCCTTTCATCTATCCTTTATGCAAAATTGTTTGTCTTTAGAAATTCATTTATGCGCCGATAAATTGGGCGCAATTAATATAAATTAAATTTTCAGGTCTTCTCTTATTAAATAAACTATTTTGAGTTCATATAAATCTCGCGAATACCAAAACAGCGGTTAGTGTGTTCAAGTTATGCTTCCATAAATTGGATAATTGTTTGCGAGGATATTGCGTGTCTCGATAAATCAATTAAAATACCTGATCTCTTCTCGAAATCGAGTTTGCTGGAATTCTTAACACGTATTAGAAACGGAGCTTCGTTAATTCCTCTGGATGGCGTAACGTCGAAGATTCCGTCATCACCATCGACGAATATCCGAAAAGTGCCGTTCGTTCCCTGCAAAATTAACAATATTAAATGAAACATTATAAGCACTCTTGCCGTAATTGCGATGTCTACATCATGTTTTATCATAGCGAAATTACATTCATGTTTCAATCACTGTTATCGTAGACATTGTAAGTGAAAGTATGTACATACATAATAGTGACGACAAAACACAAATCATAGCAAAATCTTCACAGTCATTAAGTTCAATTATTTATAATACGATGCAGTGATTTATGTAACAATGTTGTGCAACAAAAGAATTTAGAAAGCACATTCAGAGATCTTGCAATGCAAATAGTAACTGCACTTGAAGTATCGAT